AATTGCGACAAGACGTCATACTTAATAAAATAGACTGTAGTTCCTAATATGGTGTAATATCTCATTTGTATTCCCTACCACTAGATGGCAGACATGTAGTACTTCGATTCTAGACCAAAGTTACTATTCAAAGTGTTTGAGGAAAGAGCAGAGCAAGTGAGCTATCGTGTCATTGATGCGGAAGCAGTTCAGTTCATAGTGTGTGAGTAAATTGTGAGAATTGTGAGGGAAAATGGCCAAATGGCTAATACAAAGTTGTACCGTGAGGATGTGTTGCAAATGTTATTTGCCGATTCGGACTCGGATCATTTCGACCCTTTGCCCAACGGGGATGGGGGTGGCCGTAGTGTCCATAGGAGAGCTGTTGCTAGAGGTAGAGGCAGCAGGGGTTCTGTTTGTTCTGATCGCGCACGCTCTAAGGGCAACCGGCAGACAAAGTACAGGTGCAGTCAGTGTAGGTCTGTGCGCTGTGCCATGCAATGAGAGGTACCATACTCTCAAGAACTATAAACTGTGTCACCTAGATACCTGATTGGGCAGATAGCTGGTCAACTGATCAAAAAATAGGCACATGCATTTTACTATGGCACAGTAATATAGCACTAATTTAGTTCTTTCTCCTGTTTTATTGTTGGTTTCCTCTTTTCTGATCATTTGGAATGAGGATAAAAAGACCAAAAAAAAAAACAACACATGCAAATAAGTTCAAACATCAATTCAATATCAACTATTTCCTGAATATTATGAAATTCAAGATGGCCGCCCATGATGACGTCATAATATGCAAATTAGACGAGTATATTTACACCCCACATAAACTTTCGGTCATGCCCAACATTTTTCTAATTTACAGTAGATCTCTATCTTTAAGCCCTTTCAAGACACAAGCTTTTGATATCTTGATGTCAAAATCCAGCATTTTAAAGGGTTAAGACTTCTCTCTGTTCCTCATGAAAAGTTTGTCTCAGCAGCTTTGTGAATAGGTTTTAAGAGAAAACTCTTAGCTAAAAACCTTTACTGCTATTTAGGAGAACTCTTAGTGGTAAGATAAATGTTTTGTGAATACGGGCCCTGGAATTTGAGGGTGCAAAAAATAAATAAATTAAATAAAAAATCTAAATATTGAGAAAATCGCCTTTAAAGTTGTCCAAATGAAGTCCTTAGCAATGCATATTACTTACGAAAAATTAAGTTTTGATATATTTACGGTTGGAAATTGTACAAAATATCTTAATGGAGTATGATCTTTATTTAATATGCTAATGATTTTCCCATAAAAAAAATCTCGATAATTTTGACCCATATTTTTGGTTATTGCTTCAAATATTCCCCTGCTACCTAGTTTTGTGGTCCAGGGTCACATTTATGTGATTACATTGACTGTAGGACAGCCATAAACCTCACCATGTCCCAACCTGAATAACGGCAAATGTCAATCTCCGAAGAGTGACATTATATCAATGTATCAATATTTATTTACTTATTTGTTTCTAAACACAAAGTGGTTAAATGAGACATGATATAAAGTGGCATCCTCTGAACTGTACTGGAAAAATATTAGAAAAAAAAAAAAAGTCTTGCTACAGTGTATCAAAACATTCCCTGTCACTATTGCTCCTATTTGATGTTTATTTACTGAAAGTAACAAAATCCAGGTATTAAACTTGTGTTAAAGATTTCAAAAACTCCCTAAACCTCACATCAAATGAATAAGACTGCTCACATGAGATTTCATTTGACCTCCTTGAACAGCATTCTCTGAATGATAAGCACCTTTTTCAATGAGCCCAAAAAAATCTAATCAAATTGCGTGAAGTGATGCATCAACATAAAAGTATATGGTAACACTTTAGTTTAAGGTGTCCTTGTTACACGTTATATGTTCTTAATTTTTAAAATAATAATAAATTATGCATAATTACATGCAAGTAACCCTAAGATAAATCCTAACCCTATAGTAAGTACATGTAGTTAATTAATATTACTCGGTACTTAAATTTATAATTATACTGTAACAAGAAAACCTTATATAATAAAATATAACCATTTATATATTTAAGTGTAGCCATAAATATATTGAATACAACACCAAATGAAACTGGGACTGCTTTTGTATTGTAGGTTTGACTTTCTGGTTTGTATTTTACACACAGTTTTTGTCCATCAGTTTTTTTTAATTGTTTTTGGCAAGCGTATTGGTCTCATAACCCCTATACAAATGCTGCTCTGCTGACAGTTAAGTTTCTTTACAAGGTTAGCCGTCAGCCGCAGTAGTATATTGTTGTCATATCATTACCTCGTCATAACTGCCTGGGAGATTTAATGGTCAGACTTTTGAGAGTTTCTACAGCGCTCTGCTGGACTAATTTTCTGCCTCTTTTTTCCCCCTTTTTTCTTCTGTCCTGGTCTTACTGTCATTGGGTCCACCATGAGTTCACAGTATATATCTAAACAGTACCTGAATAGATTGTGCAGACACTGGTCAGAAATCCGAAGCGGAACTAACATGAAATGTTATTTTTTGGCTTTATGGCTCGGGTGATTGCCACAAGCTAAATCTGTCCATCAGAAAAAATACTAAACTGAAATCAGATTCTTGACTGAAATCAAGTACTTTTGGGGGAATCTGTGCCAGTCACACAAATGCCACTGAGATGAAAGAGAAAGCAAACGGTTACCCATATAACTTTTTTTTATTAACTCATTAGGGTTAGACCCTTTTTCTTGAATTTAATCAATTGAATGTAAAGAGTTAGATAATGCTTTATATCCTAACCTTAACTGATGTATTTTAACAATGTGATAACCATGAATGTATTTTTTGTAAAAAAAAATATGATTCTACTTTTTAGTATGTTATGTTTGCAGACACAAAAAACACAATAATTGCGTATCGACAGCATCTCAAACAAAAATCATTTAGATACAGAAGTACAAATGTTCATGAATCCTTAATATCATTGATCATCAATTCAATAGAATCAACTATTAATGAACTAGATAATATTTAGGCCTAGAGAGAGAGCTTGAGAATTTGTAATAATATTTGCAATGTGTAATAACGTCATTGTTTTAGATGCTGTCAGTACATTCATATTGTACATTTTAGTATTTATCCAAACGTACAAAAAAGTACATTTTTGTACCTGTAAGTGTTACATACGACTATCTGCATGCAAACAATGAGAGGTTTGTGAAAACATTACAAATAATTAATATTAAAGAAATGTTCATGTATAAAATGAATTGATACACATTTATACTCAACATTGAGGGACACTTACTATTACTAGTTAATGTTTAATAAAGGCAGGTCTAAAGCACTTCATTAATGGCAATCCAGTATTTTTTGTGACCTAAAGTGTAAACTGTTTATAACCATTAACAACTCTACTACTGATTTAACGCTGTACATCAGTTATGTATGGTTAACAGGTGGTTAACAAAGGATGAAAAACACGATCTAACTCTTTCCATATGAGCTAATTAAACATTAATAATTGGTTAATTACAGTGTTACTAAATGAAGAACTTGCTATTTGTATTTAGCCTAATAATGCATTACCAATGTAGCATCTAGTTAATAATGCATGAATTAAATATAATAGATTGCAAGTGATTTAAAAAATGCTTTGTTACTGTGTACTTTTAAGTGTAACCGGTAAGTAAGTCAATATATGAACAATGTATATATATATATATTTTCAGAGCACTCATTATGAATTTGATCAGTTGATCTCATAGCCAAAACTAAGCTGAAAATGTTACTTTTAATATTCTTTATTGCTTTAAAACATGACCTTACACACAAAAAGACCACAGTGAAGCAAAAACACTGACAAGAACTCAAAGAACTAAATATGAACACAACAAAAATGAAGCACAGTGACAAATCTCATTTTGGCAACGCAACTAGTCTTTGACAAAAAAAAAAAAAAGTATAAACATGAGGATATTGTTTGTATTTTATAAAAATAAATAAGTACCATGCTATATTATACTCTAAAATATAGTTACTATTTGTCTCTGGTACATACTACTATAAATCATAAGATACATGTGATTTCTCTTTAAAATAAAAAGTTTTGATTAATATTTGCAATGTTAGTTCTTTTCAGAATGACTTTAAGCTTCACAAATATCTCATGTTCTTTACAATATTTTTTGTTGAGCATAGAATAATTATACTTTTATACTGAAATATTGTAAAACACTAGATTGTATCTGTACTCTTATTGATTTAGCTTCTAATGATATAAGTTAATCCAAACCCAGCATTAAACAGTCTGTTAGTTGCTGGCTTGACAGAGCCCACTTCATTCGGTTCTATTTTAAAGTAGGGATAACATGCAAGACACCAAAACAGTGAGATGTTAATTATTTAAATGTCACAGTAGTAGAGCCTTGTATGGATTATAAAACCATAATTTAACCATTTATATCCTAGATTGGAAGAGACAGAAAAGTTTTCAGACATAAGACAGCGGTTGGTTTTATTAAAATACATATAAAACTATTCTGTGTGTGTGTGGATGGGGACGGGGTTATATTCTCAAGAGTGCACAATGGATGACATCACATGAAAATCCAAAAAAATAAAGTTGTCTACATATAAGACATTTCAAAATATGGGATAGAAGAAAAACAAAGCAATATTCAAAAAAATATTGTGAAACATTGGTTATCTGTGTACTTATATAGGCTATACTTGGAAAGAAAATGGTTTTGTGTCATCTACACAAGCATTAGCTTAGTGATTGCACTAAATTATGCAGATATCATGAGCTCAGCCCACTCAAAAAATAATGCCGCTGTTTGCCACTACATGTATGAGGTATGGATCTGGATGAGTTTGTGGGGGTGAGAGCGAGAAAGGATTTCTTTGTGCATTAGCAAACAGGAGCGCCTTTTTTCATCTTGGTCTCAGCTCAACCATTGTATCCTTTCAATTAATATTCTGGTGAATTTAAGTCTGCTACATTGTCTGCCCTGGGCAGGTGTTTCCTTCCACTATCTAGTTAGTGGGCTCTTGTGTTCATAAATATTAATTAAAAAAGTGTCAATTCAGATGCTTACAGAGATACAAATCCAGACATTGTGAATGCGATATTGTGAAAAGGGAGTATTTCATGTCACAACAAACAAAATTGAAAAACAAGCACATTACCAAATAACCAGTTCTCTCTCTACCTAATTTACAAAATCTGTTATTTAATTTTCTGTGATTTGCCACCCTCAGGGCATGTTTTAGATTATGTAGCTATAATGTCTCTACAGTAATTGCAATAATGATAATATAGGTTTTCCATAATATGCTTTATAAACCATTGTTAGTACACAAAATAACCCCACCAGCCCTTCCCTAGACAGTCACTTTGTTATTTAAATATAGGAACAACTAATATACAAAAACTAAGTCAATTTCACAGTACCCTTTCTCTAAGAACACGAGTGAACAGCCCTGTTAGATTCTATAATCTATAATGCACAGGATCAGATGTATTTTTTTCTCACTTCTGTGTACAAACAATGTAAAAGATCCTTTGTGTGTACAATTTAGCACAACCTTCATAAACATATAACAGTAGATAGCTATGCGGTTATGGAATTTAGCAGTTGGTGAACAGAAAGGCGAGTAAAAATGTAAACCGATGAAGGATCCGAAGAGATTCCTGCCAAAGTGTTGAGCAGTTGTCTTTCCGGCCTGCCCCACAATCTCATGCGTGAATGAGTCATTACTTGCTGGGCAAGGTTTTGATAGGGCGATTAAGAGAGCCCATGTTGGTGAATGTGTGGAGTTGAGGACTTGCACTCTTATTGGGAAGGCTACTAGAGTGTCCCATTGCCTCTTCAGCAGCACGAAGAAGAAGGGTGTAGTTGACAGCTACCTCCTCGACCTTGCGTAAAAGCTGCAGTTTTTGAGTTTCAGATCGTACACCCCTGACCAGCCGAATGAATGTTTGAGTAAGGTTGCACAGCACCTGGAAGCTAGCTGTGACAGCACTTAGCATTCGAGAGGGACTTTTCTCAACACTTGCCACGCGTCTACATGATGCCCTGAACTCTTTAAAATGGACAGCAAGTTCTTGCTTGTATTCTGCCAGTTTTGCAGGAGGGATACGAGGTTCACCCTCGATTTGGGGACTGTTGGCACACTGCCTTAAAATTGAGAGCAGCTCATTGGCATCAAGTTGTGCGTTTAGGAATCCATCAGGGAGCGAGAATGTTTTGCCCTGCAAGGACTGTACCCTTGCCAGGTTAGTTTCCAGATTCCCACAGGCCCGCAGATCAATCCTCTGTGTTTGTGGCTCCTCTTCTTCCTCCTCCTCCTCCCCACTGAAGTCCTCTGCATCGAGTACCTGAAGTGTTTTGCTGACTACTGGCATTGCCATTGAGTCTAGGTGCATCCCGGGCAAAACCTGCAGGGGGATGGAATAAGACAGTTCATCTTTTTCACTGCTCTCATCAGCAGCTTCACATTTGCGATAACAAAAGCAGAAGGAGCAGCATTTTTCTCTGTCCTCAGTATCCTCACTTGGCAATCCCAGAACCTCAGCGGTACCCTCTCGACTTTCCTGAAGAAGCTCTTCTCCCTGAATAAAAAATATCCCCTTCTTCTTTGCATCCCCATCTTTAGTATGTACAGGCTCTACTGGAGTTGGAAGTCTAAGTCCAGTGGCCCTGACTCTTTCCATTTCTTTCTCAAGGCTCTTTGCTTTTGTTGGTTTAACCTCAGCATACAGGGGGGTGCTGTCATTATTGTCAATCTCCCCTATGCTATATCTCCTTTGTAGCTTTTTGTACTGTGGCGCGCCCATGCATTCTGAACGGGTAGGGCACGTAGGCAAACATGACGTGGGTGTATCTCTGGGTTCCCTTGACTCTAGGCTTGTGGAGCGGATTCGAGTGGTTTTGATTTCCAAAGTCTGAGGTTTCCGTAATTCTCCTTGAGCATGTGGAGACTTTGGAATAGCTGGGGGAGTTTTGGAGACTGTCCTCTCTCGCCCTCTCTGGTCTGCTGCAGAACCGACAGCTGTATCTGGGAGACGCATTCCGCGGCACATTCTCTTACAATCACAGCTGCGTCGCTGTTCTCGTGAAATCCCAGGAACTTTCTGTACGGGACTCGTGCGCAGCTGGCAGGCACATGGGGTAAATGAGGGAACAGGAGAGGATCCCTGTGGTATGAACTCTCCTTGAGATGTTTTAGGTTTTAGAAGCTCCTCCAGGAACTCTAGCTCATACTGCCTGACCTTCTGAAGTTGAGCACGACGCTCATCTGTCTCTCTGCGCAAACGTGCTGGGAAGGTGGCTGAAATTAAGTTCCTAAAGCTCAGGAAGGGTGTACTACGCAGGGATTTGACTTTGTTATTTGCCTGTTTCTTATACTCTGCTCCTGGGATAGTTGCACCCTTTTCCGCACAACTTAGGACAAGTGTTGGGTCTTCCAGAACAGGCAAACTTTTAGCAGGTTTCTGTGGTTCCACAGGGGCTTTAGTCTGGGAGTTATCTGCCTTTGCCTCTGGCATCTCCTTCCGTTCCACTTTAACAGGCATAGCTGGTGAGAACTTGGTAGGGGGCAGGGCGCTAGGCTTAGCCAAGCTTGCATCAGGTGTCTTTGCTGCGTTCTCTTTGTTGTTAGCTAACTGAAGTCCTTTGGCACGGAGACGCTCATCATCTGTGGGAGATGATGAGTGAAACACCACCAGTTTCTGGGCCTGTGGATCTTTCAGACGCACCTGTGGGCCAGGCTCTGGTCGTACCGGACAGGTGCAGAACAAGTCAGCAGCTGGCAAAAGGCCCTTTGAACTTAAAGGCTTAGTGGTCTCACTTGAGGCATTGTCGGCATCTTGGCACATATTTGTCGAACAAATCTTAGCAGATGCAGTTCTATCCACTGGTAAAAGAACAGGTAAGGCTATACTGGTAGTTTCTAGGGTGACTGTACCAGATTCTTTTTCCTGGACACCTTCTGAGGTAACGGAGCTAGTTTTTTCTTCATTAGCTTGAGGCAACTGATCCGTGTTGACTTTGGGAGCACTCTCTTGATCAGATGCTTTAAGCTTATCAGATGTCTGCGGTTCAGACTTTTCCAAGGACTCTTTGACAGGGCCTCTTTCTGTTTTTTCTATATCCTTCTCACCTTTTGTTTCATGGCTCTTTCCCTGCTCCACAGAGTTGTCAGAGGGACTAACTCCTTGATTGGGGCATACTTTTAAGGGCACGGTCTTGCTTAAGATCACAGATTTTGGTGGACATCCGCCACGGATCTGGCTCATTGAAAAAGCCTCCCCACCAATTGCTTGTGTGGTACAGCCAGGGATTGTTAAGGGAAAGTCTCGCCGACTGAAAAGTCGCTCTTTGTTGATGTGGTGGGCAAGTAGATAGGCCTGGTTCTGATGCTGCTTCATGGCAGACACCATCTCAGACACATCAGTTAGCTCTGAAGAATTTGTCTCATGTCCAGAGTCTAGGGACGATTCAGGGGTTATGGCAGCCAGCACAATCAACCCTGTAAGGGAACAGAAAAAAAAACAACCATGCTCGTAAGAAATCTCATAAGGTCACTTCAGGTAAGCAAAATTATAAGGAGAAAATACATGTTCTAATTAGGAATTAAAAGTCAAAAATTAAATTCTAAAAAAGTGTTAAGATCCTGTTTGTTATTTTGTTGGTAAGGAGTAGGTAACACTGCACTGATACTTGTTTTGGGACCTTAAAACTTAATATGTTAGCCTTCTGTAATTATAAGATGTACAAACAACCAGTTTTTAATGACTATTTCAGATTTTACAGTTTGCTTGACTTTTAAAAGTCTCATTTACTCATAGACATGTAAAGAACCAGCACTTTTAATAGCACATAGTCCACCTGCTGTCTGTTGTGTCTGCTGGTGATGGTGTGGGTAATCCTCTGATGCAGCTAGTGCTTCCAGCGCCTGGAGGGTGGACACTAATGCATCGTCTAACTCCTGAGCGTGGTCTTGAACCGTCCTAGTGGTCACATTATCAATCAGTGTTACAGGAACGTCCTCTCGACCCTCTGCCACAGCAGCAGAGGCTTTGATTCCTTTCCGACCCTTTTTAGGGTCATCTTCGTCAGAGCTGTTGTCACGAAACCCAGGGGGCGGTGCTGCTATGGCGGGAGGGGGAGGCTGCAGCTTTCCTCCTCCATCATCCATCTCTTCATCTTCCTCATTCCCAGGTAGCGGTAAGGCAATGAGATCAACAGCCCCTCCTTCACGGGAAGCACATGCATTTGTACACTGCTGCAAAATGAGCCTTCCTGTCTCCCCAGTGTCTGAGATCAAACCTTGAGCTTGGAGTTTTGCCTTGCAGGAGTCACAGAAAAACCTCTGTGAAGGCTCCATTGTTTTCACTCTGTTTCTGAAGCTTGAGCTGTCATCGGCGGGACCGTCTTGTTCAGTCACTGACTCGGTGCTCTTTAGAGTGGGATCAGACTTTGTGCGTGAACGACTCTGTACCTGCGAGATAAGGTTCTCATTAATGTCAAGCTCTTGTTCAGCTTGTATCTGAAGCTCTTGCAGCTGTTGTTGCTCTTTTAAATGGATGTGACACAGGCCAAGGTGCTGAGATATGGGTGATGCTGATGTCTTCTGTGTTGTCTCTCTGGACGACCCCTCTCTGTCTTCTCGCCGACTCCCACTTGGCACAGTGGCTCCGGAGCGGAATTGGGCATGGGAGCTTCTGGAATCTAAATGACAGAACTGTCTGAGTGGTTGAACAAGTAGAAAACATGATGGATGGGAATGAGTCCAGATGACAAAGGTGAGTCTGCTGAATAGAGCTCTCAGAGATGGAAAAGAGCCTTGTGGGATGTAATGGCATGCTGTGATCTTTCTCTTTGGCAGACCACAGGAGATGCGAACATCCAATACATGGTTTAGTAACGCGAAGCAACATACACTTAAACTTCCAGAAATATGCCTGTATCTTGATCAGCATTTCAGTTAAGCTTGCATAAACTGATTTAAGATGAGGATGGAGAGCTCAAGAAGATGGAGGGATCAAGCTGGAATTATGAATGATTGCCATGATAAGTCCTTATAATATATAATCAAAGATCCTTTGGAAAGCAACCTGATCAGTTCAAGTCATGACGGATTCAATTATTTATTTTTGTTTATAATTAAATTTATTTTGTTTTATATTTTAGATGTCGGCATCGAGATTTTCTCACCATTATTACATCTATTTTATTTTGAAATGTCCCAAATTGCATGTGCAACGCAGCATATTTTAGTTCAGCTAGTCAGTGGAAGATGAAAAGCAAAGCAAATGCACTGTCAGAATATTACATGCAATGACTTTGTTGTATTTTAATGAAATTGCAACAATATCAATAAGATTTCTAACATACCTGCCTTGATCATATAAGGCTGACCAGGTATCCTGCAGTAGATTGTCCTTTTAGGGTCCACAAATAGCTTGTAATAGCCAGAGATCAAACAGGTAAAGTTTGATGCATCTGGCCACTCCATTAATAAGACCAAGGGCTACAATAATTATTATGAAAACAGATATTAGTATAGTATTGCATTTTAGGATGTATAATGCAATACTGTTTCAGATTTTGTTTCAGAGCTTTTTCCACACCTTTGCATCTAGAATAACAACCTCAACCCGGGCTACTCCATGATGCTCTCTGAAGAGCTGGACCTTGGCCACGCGGCTGAACTCTGCTAAGACCGTTGTTAGGTTGTTCTTTAGGTCAATCACATGACTGATACCATGTCTCGGCCCAACCAACAACGTAGTGGCTGACTGCTTCTCATCCTTTCAGAGGAAAAATAAAATAATGAGAAATTCAGTATCAGAAGGACAAGCAATTTATTTATTTTTTTAGGTTTGAAAGGTAACGTGGTAATATTTAGAACATTTTTGTAAAACCATGAAATCAATGCAAAAGTGTCTTGATTATTGTTTAAGAAGTGATCTCAGATTTGTGTTACCAAGCCAACTGTGTGAAACAAGAAGCCTCCGAATGGTGGAAGGTCATTTAAGACGCGCATGTACTGTAGTTTTCCTTGAAGAGGAGAAACCTGCATAGAAACACAGATAAAGAGAAAATAAGATTGGTGAGTTGTGCAAGTGCATAGAGGGTAATATTCTGGCCAGCAGAGGGCAATGTTTTGCTACTATTAGGTCTGCTATGTGTAACAATGATTGGTATGAAGAAATTAATTGCACACTGTTTTGCATATCTCTATTCCACCATTACACATATAAACTATGCTCTTAGGGCATACAATTAATACACAAATACAAAAACATGCATTAGACTGAAGAGATAAAAGGTTTCTTTGTTGCATGTTTCTTGATTGACATTTGACAAAGACATCCATTTAAGATATACTGTTTAAAAAAAGAAAGAACTGGTCATTTTCTGCCAGGACATTATCCATTAATTCTACAGACATTTCAGTTAACTCCAAACACAACAGAATGCAGTGTAAAATTTAAAATACAGGTAAAACACGTAAAAAATAAATAGTGCCCTATTTTTAATGATATTTGCCCCAAATAATCTTAGTAACCACATATACCTTGTTGCCAGCTGGTGGAGGTTGCTGATATGTCTTCAACAGCTGTGAGAGAGTCTTGCAGACGTTTTTCTCCTTGACGGTTGGCAACAGAGTCAAAGGAAGGAAAGGTTCCAAACCCCATTCTTTCCTAAAGATGATGCGGGTTTAGTCTTCAAAGCATGCTACAGGACCTTACAGTACTCTTTGATGGTTTCACGAGTGTCATCTGCCACCAGTGGAAAACTAGATGCTGCTTATGGTGCTAATCCAAAATCTAATGCATGCTTCTTTGGTTACTCAATGTTGTTCAAATGTTGCTAAAAAACACAAGGACAACACTTGGCAACTTTGCATTTTTGACACACATTAACTTCCATTCCAAATAAGTGCACTGAACTTTCAAACATCTGTCTTAGTGTGAACAGGAACCTTAATTCATAGCATAATATTTAAATCAAGGTAGGGATCAAGGTCTATTATAAATAAATGAAATTTCCTCTTTTCAGGCAATCATGACTGTTTTAAAGACTTACTCGACGTGCTTCAGAGAAATCTTCTGATTGGGTCTCGCAATCGACACAGTGATGTAGATGTGAAGGGCTGCCAGCCTAAGCGTGACGTCAGACTTCCAGTCCATCCCAAACCGCTCTTTAATGACATCATTGCGGCTCTGGGAGGATTTAGAACAAATAACATATCAAGAGGCTATATATTAATATCAGACCAATCATGTTTCTTATTATGTGAATATTCATGACTAATCCACCTGTATGTAGAGGTACTCAAATGCAGCGGGGTCTCTCCTCAATAAGTCAGCAGGGTCTTTTGGGAAGAAGCAAATTCGGAAAAGACACTTCATTCCCTGGAAGTAGGTCCTGTGAACTACCTGAAAATACAGAATAAAATACACCTTTGAAATAAAACAGTAACAAATACTCCAGCACTAAACTGTCACATTGAATTCCTTATGGTAGGAAGGTGATGTGCTACTAGCAGCCATAACAAATGAATTACATTATACTGTAACTCAGGTTCTTATTAAAGGTTATATTACTGTATATTCATATACAATGGCGTCTATGAGTCTGAGACCACACTGAGTAGAAAACCTATGATTCAAAATCTAGTTTAAACCACAGAACATTTTAGGATTTTAAATAATTCAATATAATTGAAAAATTAAATTTCTGCCACTAATCAAATAAATGGCCTGAATTATTGACTGGGCTTTTGAACTGCTTTGTCCAGATGGTCAGATGTTCTATTGGAGCTCAAGAAGTTTTTGGAATATTTTTAAATCATGCTGGATAACATTAGACATAAATACTATTAAATCAAATTCAAATGCTAATACTACTACAATAAAATGCTTATGTACAATGGTGGCCAAAATTGTTAGAACACTTGGCATATTTAAGAGGTTTCAATTGTTTTTTGTTGAATTGGCCATTACAATACCCATAAAACAAAAAATTGCCGGAACTACCTGCAACGGAAGGAATCTGCTGGAAGACTAAAAATGATGGACTGGCCCCCTCAAAGTCCGGACCTCAACCCCATCGAGCAAATTTGGGGCAAGTTGGAAGATAAACTGGACAGATCTATTGTACATTCAAAGGAAAGCCTTTGGCTTGAGTTATAGAAGGCATGGGATAACATTAGTGTTGAAGTTCTCAGGAAATATATTGACACTATGCCAGAGAGATGTGCTGCTGTCATTGCTGCAAAAGGTGAACATACCAAATATTACATTTAAAAACAGTACGACTCACTTCATCTGATATTTGTTGTGCTCAGAGCAACCATCTGCATGTTTCATGAACATTATGAAATTCAATCCTGTTTTGGTCAAAAAAAAAGGTCATTATTTTCAGATCTGTCAGGAGTTCTAACAATTTTGGCCACCACTGTACTTCTACAGTATATATTTGTCCAATGACAGATGCTCTACAAACCACTAAGGTTTTTTTTTTTTTTTAATTCATTAGAATTGTTTGTTGCAACACGCAATAGAAAACTGGTGTAAAGTACCTTGTTCTCCACATTTAAGGCTGCTTTTAAAGCTCTTGAACATTAGAGTGAAGGTAATGCATCAGTCGGTGGTTTTTGGGTGGCATTTACTCACATGAGACAGTGGCTGGTTTTCCTGGAGCAGATGCAGCCTCTGATTCTGGGCCAGTCCACCGGACTCCAGCACTAAAGCAAAATGCTCGATGTAGCGCAGAGAGAGGCGATCCTGCAGCGACGATATCACATCCTGGGGCGAATGGGAAAAGGAGAATAAGGTCTTGTATTCTGTAGTAACTCTTCTGATGGTTGGTGTTTTTAGCTCCTAAAGCATGAATTCTGCTGTATTACTATATCTCAGATATTACAGTGTAAAGTAAATGTAGTGGAAAGCAACAGCATCAGCAGTGTGTGAACTACAGGAGGACAGGCTTGACATTTCCATCAGTGATGGAGCACTGAAATCAACACTCAGTCACTGGACCCTGCTCTGGAGACAAATTAGGCTTTTTACTGACTAGTGGCTTTGCTTCTGAAATGGACGCCAAATATTTAATGAGGTTTCCATGTGACCAAAGCAAATACTGTACTTAAACACTGTGCTAAAGCACCAATGTGCGCTGGCTGCTGTGATGCATTATATTCTTAGTGTTTGATGACAGTAACTCCAGCTATGGGAGATAGACGGATTACTGCACCGTGTTCTGTCACCAGGATTGAGATAATCTGTTTAGTGATACTGACCAAAGGCTGAAGATATCAGCTCAGGAGGGATTGTGAGAAATGTCAACAATGCTGCGAAATGTAGGAGAGGAAAAAAGCTCACTAGGTTTTTTAATGGTCTGAAACCATCAAACCTCAACTCATCTACACGTTCAAAAATTACAACGCCTTTGAAAGCTGAATAAAAACTATTGCATTTCTTTCAGTTGATCATAGCTCTTGGAATTCACGCTTTGTTCTGACATAACGTAAGATCAGCTGTACAAAAGAAAGTGATTGCCCTTTTTATCACTTTTGCTCTCAGAAAGAAAAATATAATGTTGGCTAATGACTTTTCCAAGCCACGTTACTCTATTCGGTAGCATTTTAGAATGATGCTCTGTAGGTAAAGAAACTATTCAGGACACATGAATAGCTCTACAATAGCATGTCAGCTATACTATCAACTAATACTGGAACAAGATTACCTAATCAGTAAGTACTGGTGACTTCAGGGCAATTATTAGGTAATCAATAATTATTGAATGAGAGTAGCATCATTAAGAACTACTAACTATGAGCAATTATAAAGAACTGCCAGTTAATTAATTACAACATTAACGTGTCTGAGACATGGACAATTGTCTTTTCCCCCCACTTCGGAACATGGTCATTAAATGCATCACTACTTAGTTGTGTTACCTAGATCTACTAGTGCTCTGGACCATTATTTTGAAGTAAATTTTTTTTTTTTAATTAATTTTAATATAATTGCCCAGATCACTATTAGTTGCTGCACAGTGACTACTGTAGGTAATACTTGAGTAATGAGGGCATAGTAAGAATAACCTCTTGTTCAAAAATTTGTAGCGTATTGTCTACAAATAGTTCTGAAAGAATCTTTTACAAAACAAATGTTTTAATATTCTTAGAATTATTTAGATGACATCACATCTTTTCAATAGAAAGTGATGCATGTGCACCAAATCTCCTCACCTTGACTGATTTACAGGGGTCCCATAAGGTTCTATTCTAGGTACAATCTTATTTAAACTTTATATTAATGACAAATATTAATTAATATTTGTATTAATATAAATGCATTGTCATTGTCTTGTGATACCTGTATAGAGACTACAGATGTAAATAGCAATGTTTCTATACTATGGCATATTCATTTATATGCATAAACAAAAAACAAAACAAGCAAACAAAAATGAGTGAATTCCTCCTGTTGTGTTTCTAGTAACAGGAAAGAGTACACTTTATTTTATGGCCCAATTCTCACTATTATCTAATGATCAAACAAAACTTTTGCCTCAATAAACTTCTAATTGGCTGCTTGTTAGTAAGGTAGTTGTTAAGTTTAGGTAAGGGTAGGTTTAAGGGATCTAAAATATGGGTATGCAGAATAAGGCTATGAATAAGAATATGTGCTAATAAAAAGCCAATATGCTATGACAGTTTTTCTCAATCGATTTGACACTTTTCTCCAGTGCAATGTACTTGTTCTCAAAACAATTAGCACAGCCATCCAAACACAAAATTATCTTAACCAAACAGTTCAACTTTACTGCAAAATGAAGCACTGCAATTTTTTCTAGTAATGCGTTTATTAAAAGCATAAATGGATTATAAAACACATTCAGCTGTAGATGCACAAATATGCTAATGAAAATACATGTTTATTGCAATTCTTCAACAGGGAGTTTTGTTTTACATATATTGTGTATATTTAATGAAATAAAAATTGCTCCAACACCTGCTATCACCCATGAAGCAAACAAGAACTGCAAACAAACTTTTCTGATAACTACAGATCAGTCTTTTTTATATATATATATATAACACACACACACACACACACACATTGAAGGGGGTCTGAATACTTTCCGTACCCACTGTACATCTTGAAGAGAATTTCATTGCATTTTATCTAGACTACATGTGACCCTGGACCACAAAACCAGTCATAAGGGTCTTTTTATTTATTTATTTAGATTTATACACCATCTCAAAGCTGAATAAATAAGCTTTCCATTGATGTGTGGTTTGTTAGGACTTCTACCTCTCCTTCCACCCTGTTGTCCACTTCCTCTCTGTCCATGTCTTCTTACAGTTTCTGCTTTTGCTCTTTCCACTACACCAATGCCCTCTTCTCTAATCATCTCTTCTCCCTTTCCTTCTCCTCTCCTCTTTTTTCACATCTTCCTCTCTGCTCATCTCTTTCTACCTGTTACACTCTTCATCTTCTCTCTCATTACACGCCTTTCTCTACCCACTCCTCCAACTTATAGATTTACACCTCTTTCTTTACCCCTCCCCCTTTATTTTTATTTATTTTATTTTTCACAAATTATTTTTTTTTGTATATTCGTTCTTGCTCTTTGTATACTTTCCCTTTTATTATTACTCTGAAGCAATTGTGATAAATGTGTGAACGATTAGGAAAATTGCATTTCTTGTGTTGAGTGTATGATTAACCGAATAGTTGTCAGTTTAGAGCCAATCGAAAATAGATTTGTTTGTTCCGTTTGGACAAATGGTACATAAAAGTTTGTGATTTGTGTAAAATGTTTTTTTCAGATATTTGAAAGTATTGGTTGGTTGTATTAACTATTGTGAAAACATTTCAGAATTTTGTGCACATTGTTTTGAGAAAATCATTTGCATGATTTTTAATTTGTATGAAATTAATGAAAACGTTCAATCTGTTTAGGAAAATTACAAAGTATTCAGATCACTGTGTTAACTGTTTTGAGAACAGTGACCTGAGTTTGGAGAAATGTGTCAAATCAATTGAGAAAAACTGTAATATGCATGCTAGTTAATAGTGATAATTGGTCCTTTAAAAAAAGTGTTACTGGGAAGAGTTTTCCCATCACACTCACCCTAACAGTGGTGCGGCTGTCAAATGTAAAGGATTTGATCTGTCCATTTTCCAGAAACACCTTCAACACATTTGGTATCAGAAGCAGAGAATCGTCTTTAAGCATGGTCTGAAAAAGACAGAGGCAAGAAAGAGGGGAGAAAGCAGTCAGTGAACCTTGGATGAGATATTACGAAAAGAAAAGACTCAATAGGTCAATACAGAGTCTCAAATAAGAAAATCTAATATCTAAGAGACAAAGAAAGAATGTAGAAACACATGACAAGACTTTAACTGTATGGAAAACCTGAAAGGAAAAACATTAAGTCTAAAACAATGGTTAAAGGGAAGATCTTTTTCTAACTTATGAACAATAGTTTAAATGAATTGGAAATACTACCAAAACTCTACTTTAAACATACAGAGTATAGAATTAAGCAGAAGTCATATCACATTCATTCTATATCCAATGTGAAACCGTGTCCTGTAAATGCTGATCAACTGAACACAAACTGAATTCAATTACAGAATATATTTGTAGCTAAGGGAAGAATTCTTCAAGGCATCTACTTTATTTCCAATAAGAAAAGTTAAAGGTGCACTAAGTATTTTTTTTTCATGTTGAACTGGCTTGTTCATTTTCCTGGTTCAAAGCCTATGGTGCCATCGCGGAAACCCTGTGGCTGGCCAAAACCAATCCCAAACCATCGATCCTCATTAAACTGCCACAGTCTGCTGTCTTTGAAACAGTGAGTCACCAGATTGATCTGTCACTCATTCTCCCTGAACTGGGCATTACTAGAAGTACATTGTACTATTTTGAGCCTAACCTAATGGCAGATATTTCAAAGTATCCTGGAGAGGGTTTCTAAATCACATCAAGTAGCGGAGTGCCTCAAGGTTCAGTTCTTGGACCCTTCCTCTTTAGAGCATTAGAAAAATCAGACCCTACATGCATAGTTCTTGCGCAGGCTCTTATCTTCTCAAGACTGGACTACTGCAACGCTCTGTTAGCCGATGATACAGAACACAGCAGTGGATCTGGTTTTCAACCAAAAAGGTCCATGTCACACTTGTCCTTTCTGTGGTGGAACAACTATTCAGACCTTTCAGACAGATGAATACATTTAAATATAAATATTTCTTCACAACAAATGACAATGACTTTGGATGCTATCCTGACACCTGCTACGAAAGATGCAGTAAAGGGTTAAAGCAAAGTTTTGATATTGGATTTAAGAAATATCCTATTTAGATGGACAATTGTCATCCATGATTATTTTATTTTGTAGTGGAAACGTACTGACATAAGGTGAATGATATTTGCCAGTTTCTATTTCACTGATGGAACTATCATTTTCTTTAATATTTGTCAAATATTTGTTTGCTTACAACTTCGAAAAAGTGGGTAAAAATGACTTAGTGCACCTTGAAGTGGGTGAGAGACCTTACTTTTAGTCAGAATCATATTGATTTATACCAGGTTCCACATTATCACCTGTCCACTGATCTTTCACTGAGTGTCATCAATAAAATGATTTAATGTAATCAAATGTTGACACTTAATGAGGTCTGATACACCCATGAAAGTATTGTACATTTGGCAAGAGTTTTACCCAAAGTCCCTTTAGGCTTGCTTCTGGAGACATGTGCAAAGTGCTATTACACTTTATACACAAATACAGAATGGAAACAAATAAGCAAGCATCAATTTGCCGTTTCGGTTGGGACCATGTTATGACAGGCGGTGAAGTGAGCAGGTTGGCTAACTCTATTTCATACATTGAGCACAATCCCAATCAATTGCACGTAAGCTACGGCGTGAGATGATGTGATATGAATAATAAGTCCCATGTTGGCATTTGTCTTTAAGCCTAACCCATTTAATAAAAAGGTAGCAGCTTGTGTACTCTTTGCTGACAGGCGAGTTTTAATGAAGAAAGCCCCGCTGACCCCTGCTGATCACACAAGATGGATTGACATGATTAGAGGAGGAGGCTCAGGTGAGGGTGGTTTGATCTTTACCGATTTTGGCCCTCTAGGCCTGATCAGCAAGTTTCTTCTTCCAGGAGAGCTGCACGCCCCTCCCATCGGTCCGCTTTATTAAATTGGTGCGACCAGCACCCAAGGCTGTAGTGTTGACTCTTCCTTGCTCACAAGGCAGATATCAAACTGTATGGGACATAATCCATGGACATTGACATTAACATGGGTGCCATCGACCCATGTTCACCAAGAGGAGATGGCAGCTGTAGAGCTAATGAAAAGCTACGAATGAATGAATGTCTAGTAACAACATTTAAGGTCATGGGGAGGCTCTAGATGCAATGCTACCTTATTCAATTACCACTAAGTAGGCTGAAACGGTTCAAAAGAAGCTGGCGCTAAGTTCCTCCATGTAACTCTGTAAGTTAAACACCTTGATCAGAACCAGAGGGAATTATTCAAAGCTCTTGCTGTAAGAATTTCCTTTTTCAATAGTCACGAATTGCTTCAGAAAGTCACTGCACTTGTTCAAATCATTCTATAGTAAATCCAAGTAAATCTCAGCAACCAAACAAACAAACAAACTAGGACTCATATTCTATTCAGAAAAAGAACATCTGTCAATATCTGCCTGACTGACTTCGTTGCAAATCTACCCTACGCATATGAAACAGAGAAACTCTAGATCCCTTTCATTCCAACCAAACCAAGCGTAGTCAATTCCAAGCCCTGTGTTTTCATGTATGCACTTTAATAAAGTCTGAGTTCATGGATGGTGGAGGAAGATGAAACCACAGCAGAAAGTGCACATATTATGAATCCTTTTAGCTTCTTGAAATGGTGGACCACATCTAGAGAGCACCATCAGAGAGGGATTTATGCGTTGCCCCTCGGGGTAATAAACCTGCAGTTTAATGAAATGAGATGAGCAGGAGATGTGGAGTGAATCGCACTTCAATATTGAAAGTGAAATGACAGGCATGTAACACTCTGAAAAGGAGAGCACGAACAGACTGTGAATGGTCATGTCACAAAATACCTTGAGTCCAATCGACAAACTCAAATCTTACAATCCATAGAAGTCATAGCAGGAGCTATGGAGTCTATCAGGAGAGTTGGTGTCAGCCAGTGTTGTGCGGGTCTCATTACAGCACATAAAGACAGCTGTGTTAGCACACATATGACTGGGGTGTGATGTGAGCAAGAGGCAGCAGCACATACTGAGTCTGGGTCGCTGATGTACACTTGCTCAGAAAAGCGCACTTTGGGGGGATTGGTTCGCAGACGAGCTTTCTTGGCTGCACTTATGAAGGCAGACTTAGGTGACTAAGGAAACAAAAAGAAAGACAAAGGGAGGGTAGGAAGAAAGAAAGAAAGAAAGAGAAATAGACAGGAAAACAGAGGTTAAGACTAGATTCATTTAGAGCAGGGATGCCCAACCCTGCTCCTGGCGATCGGCTGTCCTGCAAAGTTTAGCTCCAACTCTAATCAAACACACCTGCCTTTAATTTTTAAGTGATCCTGAAGACCTTAATTAGTTGCTTCAGGTGTGTTTGATTAGGGTTGGAGCTGAACTTTGCAGGACAGTCGATCGCCAGGAGCAGGGTTGGGCACCCCTGATTTAGAGTGATGAAAAAACCTTTAAAACCATTAATCTGGTCTTAAATATTCTCTGCAAACAATGCTTAATATCTAATGCAGTTTTGCTTCTCAAGTAAAAGTATATTTTTTATGGACATTTATACATTTTTATTGGAAAACAAGACAAATATATGGATTAAAATAATTATTTTTAGCAGTGTAGATTTGAAATCGGTGAATACATTATGCTAGTTCAGTTAGACTGCCGAAGCCCTGTTCACATGACTTACATCCCGCCTTCAAGGCAACAAAAACATTTTGTGTTGCTTTGACCCCAACAAGTATTAGAATAGCACCCAAAAGGGCAATTTTATCATTGATTAATTTGCATTTTTTATATCAATATGGTGCATGTAATGGTAAGTTTATAACAAGTTAGATAAAAAAGTAATCTAATCTAAAAACATTACCTAAAATGAGTAACATAGAGTATGTTACTAACTACAAATTTCATCATCATTTTACTGTAATCAGTAACGGACTACAATTTGTAAGTAATCTACCCAGCACTGTTCTCTGAATATCATGATATGACTTAGAATGGAAGTAAAGCTGGATTTGTATATAAAGAGGATCAGCCTTTCTTCTGACAACAGCTGGGCGATTGATTGTACTCCGCAAGCTCAGTAGCAACCGAGGTCAAAGTTGAAATTGTTTAAACTTTTGAGCGCTGTTACAGCTTGACCTGCTTGCAATGTAATGGAGGGTTAATGCTCCATTGAGCTCTGGGGAACATTGACACGAATCATTCCCATGACATTTTCACTACTGAGCTTTAGTCTCAATATACTAATTATGTAATTATGGTATGTATAGTAATCATGTAACATTGGCACAAAGCAAAAGTGTTTTTGTTGGTAAGTTTATAACAAGTTAGATAAAAAAGTAATCTAAAAGTAACTTAAAAAGTAATAAGAATACATTACCTAAAATGAGTAACATAGAGTATGTTACTAACTACAAATTTCATCATCATTTTACTGTAATCAGTAACGGACTACAATTTGTAAGTAATCTACCCAGCACTGTTCTCTGAATATCATGATATGACTTAGAATGGAAGTAAAGCTGGATTTGTATATAAAGAGGATCAGCCTTTCTTCTGACAACAGCTGGGCGATTGATTGTACTCCGCAAGCTCAGTAGCAACCGAGGTCAAAGTTGAAATTGTTTAAACTTTTGAGCGCTGTTACAGCTTGACCTGCTTGCAATGTAATGGAGGGTTAATGCTCCATTGAGCTCTGGGGAACATTGACACGAATCATTCCCATGACATTTTCACTACTGAGCTTTAGTCTCAATATACTAATTATGTAATTATGGTATGTATAGTAATCATGTAACATTGGCACAAAGCAAAAGTGTTTTTGTACACAAAGCTGAACCTGAATGTCAAATTCCAGTAAAAATGTACAGACTCTATTGAAATTGGCATAGTAGTTTGACTGCATCACTGAAAGGGACTGATTTAATGCCATTCGGATTGGAGAAGACATAATGTCCTTAACTACCTGTTGTGGTTGCAGCACAGTGAGAACAATCAAGTCCTTGCACCGCCTGCAGAAGAAAAAGACATTTTGGCAAGTGAGCTGCAGAATGTGAAAAGAGTGTCTTATCTGAAATGAATTCTCTTATCTGATGGAGACACATGGAATAGAAATACATAAAGCACAGGCATGCGTCCAGACAAGGCCCTTCCCTCTGGTGACAGTAAAGGGTGTTACCTTACAAGGTCTATGACTTTCTCCCGGGGCGTGTCGCTCACGAGTTCCTGGTTGATGGCTAGGATCTGATCTCCGGGGTAAAGCTTGCCGTTTGAGGGTCCGTCTGTAAAGGAGGAGTCTGTAAACTAATCTTGCTCTTTATAGACTTGATTAGTTAAAGCCCCTGACATTGTTGTCTTCTTATATATGCTGATATAGATCACTAAGTCACACTTGTTTCCTAAGGCAGTTATAATAACCTATCCTACAGTGGATTTTCACACTTATCTTATCAAGGCATTGGATAGCAACTTAATCGTACACCTCGAGTATCTGAATTCCCATTTGATTAGACTCATCTCAAATCTGAAGAACTCAAAAGCCTGGCACACCAGAGCCAGGGGACAACAGACCCCTGTCCCATAGCTCCAGACAGAGACACACGTCTTACCCGCAGAGACCGAGCGTACAACGACAGGCCGTTCGCTGCCGGCAATGAACCCGAAGCCGTGGCTTGGATGGCGTTGGATGCAGACCTGTCGAGCTGAGCCAGGAGTCAGGCTACCACTGTCCATACCATCCTGACTGTCCTCTAACATCACAGAGCTACCAAATAAGACAACACAGTTCTTGAGTGTCCGTAAAATTAAACCCCATTTCTAGGGTGACACAATTCATAAATACATATTCCAAGTAAACATGATTTTTATTGTCCATGATTTGCATAACAATCGCAGTATTAGGTTTCCAATAGGGTTGTGCCGATAGACGGTAGTATTGTGCATCGATACCTGTGGCTGATGCCTTTGATGATATTAAGACAATTATTATTATCAGGCTAGTATTATTATCTAATTAATATTAGGGCTTATTTGTTATCATCATACTTGTCATCATATTTTTTTTTACAAGTTTTTATAGTGTTGTGCGTTAACCAATCACACACAAGTCTGTTGAGTTTATGAATGCAGAGGCGTTCAGATGAGTTTTGTTGTTCAGTGTACGTGCTCGCTGACTGAATTCCGCTCTCTTGTGAATCCTCTCACCATAAACAAAAACGTGCAGACGTGCATGCGATGTAAGATATTTATTCATCATACAGTGTAGACAGCTTCGCTGATTATAACAGAAGTGCATAAACTCGCGCTAGACTGAAGACTGAGTCAGTGATGATGTTCTTTGGTAATGTAAATGTTCTTTGCTCGTTTTCTGTAGCTGCTGTTTGAATAACTGAGGAAATGCAAGCATTATAATTAGTAACTTAATTAGTTTTTATTCAATTGTTATCATGTTAAATACAAATTCAATATATTTTATGAGATCCATACTTGACCAAAAAGATATAATGTGTAGTTAATAATTAGGCTGCTTTTAGCCTTACCCTCGAGTTCACGCTATGTTCACGGCTATGAAACTAAGTAAATAATTAAATAAATAAGCATGATAATATTGTGTATCGGCGATCTTGACGATTAGACGATATGACTATGGACCATGTCGCCCAACACTAGTTTCCAACATCTAATATGGACTAGCAATTACATTCACGCAGACAGTTTTCTCTGTGTCTCATATAACAGCTGGCCATTAATAAAAAACATCAATGCATTGTGCCATTTTTTGATTCAGTGTTGTATAGATGAGGTGATTTACTTTGTACGTGCGGAAAGATAAGGTAATGCCTCTTTTATGTTTCCCACTGTTCTCATTTTGACGTATGAGGATTATTAATGACTGCACCTGTCATATTCCTCTGTGTGCCCATCCTGGACCCGGGCCATCCCCTGAAAGGACAGAACCGGACCTCGTGAACCGCTTCAGAAGGCTGGCTCTGTTTCCTACACATTCACCTGGGTGGACAAAGATGAGAGAAGAGGAGAATTTATAAGAGGTCAAATCATGCATATTTAAATTGCTTCATTTTTAACACTTTTTTTTTATGATTTACACTTTTTATTTTCCTTCAATAGGCAAAATAGTACACTTAATTTTAAATTGGAGTGTACTGTTTTGTAAAATGGAGGTCAAACCCCTACCACTAGATGACCAATACTTCATACGTCAGTCACAATTAGGCTTAGATTGCTAGAACAAATCGAATAAAAAAATAAGATAAAATACAGTCCGTTTGTATTTAAAAAAAAAAATTCATTCTTATATTGCATCTCACCACCAGGTTATCCTCAATACACGTAAAATATTAGTCTCACCTTTTCCTATAAAAGTCCATGTTAGTTAGTTAGCTGTAAGACATTTTTTTTTTCATATTCTGCCACTTTCCCTATTTCTATTATCCTTTCTCGATGGCACCCCCACTGACCGCCAGTCTATCATAATAATAATTTATCTTCCTGCATATTTGGATCCATTCGCTAAGTGAAAAATATGGTTCTCCTAGGACATAAATACTTGGGCAAAATGAAAAGCAGCATACTGATACTTCTTAAATATAATCATGAACCATAGACCAAAATTCATCATTCAGCTGCTGGGAGTCCAATAAAAGTGATTTAATATTTAAAAATGGAATAAGTTGTACTCCAAGATTTCTTGACATTACCATACAATTTTGACAAATTCTGGTCCAGTCTTCATCACTTGGTTTCTGATGTCAGAATGAGTGCTTGTTAGACTGGGAAGAATATTTTGAGCTTAAGTAAGAGTATGCTCCCTGTCATAAGTGAACTCCATACTGCATCTGTAGCTGATGCTATGGGAACAACCTCCAGGAATGAACATTTTCTGAATCTTGACTAAAAGCATGGCAATCCACTGGATGATGGTTCTAATGCTGTCCTCTGAGACACCAGCGCCTCAAAAGGACGTTTTCAATTTTCAGATTTCTTCAAGAAGCGGTTTATCAAGCCTGCTATCATGTTTCAGTGACCATCATGGAACACGATGTCGTTCAGGAAGTGTTTGCTGCCATCTTCTCATTTTTATGAGTGAGGACTCGCATGAGAGGTGTGTTAAGTGTTTGGGTGTGCAGCATGATGGCACCTCCAACTGCATGCACTCTGATAATTTCAGGATGAAAGCTCTCGGCTTGCTTCTTTTCAGTGGAAGGAGGTAAATTGCTATGGTTCTGCAGTAGCCAAAGCGACACATGAAGTAGGGTCCTGGGGATCCAATGTTGAGCTGGAGGCTAAGAAAAGGGAGCAGACAGACTTTTCCCTTTCTCTCCCTCTCTCTGTCACTGGACCGCATGCACTTAATTTCTCTGGGGGAATTCACACGGGAGAGTTTATGCCAGAGTCCAGAGCGCATCAGACTCTGAGGAGGTGGACAGGAGACACAGCCTCATACTGAACGGCTGAATGTTGTTTCTCATAATGTTGAGAAGCTGAAGCTGGACTGGCCCATAGTATAGCTCAGAGTGTAGACTTTGCAGGCCATCGCCGTACTTTCAATAACTCCGTTAGGAGATCTCAAGGTCCTGGAAACAGCCAATCTCAGCATGTGTCACTAATCATGCTACTTTTGACTTCACCACAATTGCGGGTCTAATGGAGCAGGGTTATTCAGAGATGCCAGTGGCCAATGTGATTGGTGCAATAGTGAATATGGAACCAGAACATAAGTTGATAAGTTCCATACTGCAAAACAGCAACTCATTCCCCCCAGAAATGTTGAGGTCTTCTGCCTCACCGATGGCACATATGCACGCCGAAGGGACGGTGATTAAGTCCTCCTTATCTGCTGCACAGGAAGGCCATCCCTGACCAGATGTTGAACTGCTGCAGAACCTGATTTTATCAAGTGCAACATGTTCCTGGATCAACATCTTTGTTGACCCTGGAACTACATTGTGATTAACCAATCAGATTTGAAGAACCAGTTTATAGTTTTTGTGAAGTTTAGACTTACAATCAGTGTTTGGTGCTTGTACATCAGTGTCATTCATCTATCATTTCCTCTGATTTTAGGGATTACTCATGGTTAAGGTTAGGTTTAGTTGTAGGGATAGATTCCGTATGTCTATGATATGTAATTTCCAGAGTTTACATCAATTCATACTGCAAATTGAATTGACTTCTTTAATAACAAATTTAATAATAAATAATAACTCATTGTACATCACTAGTTTCGTTCTCTTAAAGCCATGCCATATATAAAAGACATGAATGGTAAACAGAGCCCTTGTGGAATATTCTAAGATGCATTATGCCAAAAGCACTTAAATCTCTTAGAACCAGTGTGAATCACACATGGCCATGTTGATGGAGGGTGAAATAATAGATTTCAACCAAGACTCTTTTTTATTCTGTGCAGTGGATTTGCCAGGTGACCGTGATTTCACCAAGTACAACATTGATCAACATCCTTGTTGATCCTGGAACAACATTCCTATCAACCAATCAGAATTGAGGGATAACTTTTCAGGAAATATCTATTTTAGGCTTACAATCAGGGTTAGGTGCTTCTACACCCTTGTTAATCAGCTATCATTTCACACTGATTTTAGGAATAAATTATGGGTAAGGTTAGGTTTAGGGGTAGGGATTGGGTTAAGTCTATATTTTTGGACAGTTATGTTGATCCAGGATCAACAAAAGATATTGATCCAGGAACATGTCTTACTTGGCAAAATCAAGGCGACCGGATTTGCCAAGTGTAAGAAAGAAAGAGACAAAGTGAGAAAGAAAAGACAAATGGAGAGGTCTTAGTAGGCATGGTAATATTGTAGAGCAGAGGCCGCTGACGTCTGGCTGTGAACGTGTCACAACAAAGTGACAATCTTCAGTCATCAAGTTCCTCCCGGCAGTTTCTGAAGGTCATGGCTACAGCAGCTTGTTTATTCACCCCAGACTCTTTCTAGCACTTTCTTCCTGCTGTATGCTTAAAACACTTTAGGCAGCTGTGGAAATCTGTATTTGAGGCAGCGGTAACCTTAACAACACCCAGCACGATGACTCATACGCTGGAGGGGAGCTGCACTCGGGACGGCAATGTGTCACGAGGGTTTATTTTCCATCAGGTGAATGCCATGATACATGCGAATGCCTGTGCAAACCTCTGGCCAGTATGATGATGGAGAAGCACACTGCAGCATCCTCAGGCCAGCATCACCACCACAGTCCCAGCAATGATTCACGAGTTCAGTTTAATACTTAACCACTAACACTCAAGTATGAACAATAGTAATAATGATGCTTGCTTTAGTACTAATATTTAAAGCATTTCATGCTTGGTGTGCTTATCAATTTGCATAAAAATCTTATTTGGTCTAGAAACTTGGCAAAGGATGATGTTATTGCTTAAAGGTTACTCGTTCATAATGAGTTTCTTCATGTTTAACTGAACGTATGTATTCATTTTGCCCCTGGTGCTTCTCATAAAATTCCTAAAAATCTGTTTAGTTTTTCACCATTTCTAGGACCTTTTTTGTCTTCCTGTATTTTTAACAGCACAAATACTAATGCAGACTTTTGATTGGATATTTTGGTATAAGTTTAGTCATTGTTCAGATCTCTGATTTACATGACATGCGTTGCCAAATGTATTACAATTACTAGAGAGTACAGGAGCTTGCTTACTGACAGATTTCAGTCGACTGATACAGTATTCCGGTAAATAACTGTAATTTAGAGAGCATCAGTTCTAATTTGGGTGTACAATACTGTAATGACATTAGTGAGACGACCCGTAAGAGCTGCTGTCATTATCAGTTAGATTTAAATCAAATAAATCCCTATCAGAGGAGGATACACAAAACAAAAGACCTAGAAGAGAGGACACATGCATACAAAACAATGCTTCAGCATTAGGCCAACCTTTTCAGCAATGGAGACAGAGTAATACTGTCAAGAAATGCATCCCAAGGGCATGACTAGCTGAAGCGTTGCCATGGATACAGCAGACGTGAGCTGATGAAAAGTGAGGTGTATGACCGCAACAGATGATGGCTGCACTCAACCTGCCTTCACACAGACCACACGCGTCGTCTTCACTGCTCTCGTAGTCTTCCTCCCAGAGTCTAGACGCCACTGCTGGGCTGAGAAGTTTTTAGCATTCAGATGACGGATTCTGTCATTTGAAAGCAGTACATGTCTGCATCTGACTGGAAAAAAATTCTGTTTTTTTTGCCATTAAAATTGTCAGCAAGGACAGAAACCTGATCTTTTACTCGTACTAATGCGCAGACAAGTGCATCATAATTGTGTTTCTATTTTTGAAATGTCTTGGTTTGTTCTAATTTTCTTTGAATTAACATGCACTGATCAATCCTGCACAATAAAATCAGTAAAGTGAAAGTAAATAGCAGCAATTTTGATTTCATTTTGACCAGTTAGTGTTCAAGTCGCATTTATCTGCACTATTGTTTAAATATTGGTCAGTGTGGTTTTTCTAATTCTTACAGAATTTTGTGATAGGGTTATTCCTAAACATCCCAATATTTGTTTGTTGAACGATGATTGTGATCTTAATTTGAATGCTTACCTGCGTAGAATATTTCACACTGCACTAACTGCAGCCAAGAAGGTAATCTTTTAAATTTGGCATGAACCCACATTCCCGGCTGGCAAAATGTGGCTGATAGAATTAAAAAATATCGCGCTGTTAGAACGTTCAACAGCAAGGACTAACAGAGCTAAACCAAGAACAATTAAGGTATGGTCAGAATTTATTGAGAATCTTTCTAACACAATAACTCGATATTTTTGGCCATTGCATCCCATCTTTTCTTTTTTCAGTAAGAAAAAATAATATTGACTATGTAATGTGATCTGGTATGACAACATGCAAATTAAAGCAGTTTTAGTGATTCTTACAGCGTTCAGTCCCATGCATTTTGATTGTAACAAGCTTAGTGCAAAACATGTTTTCTACAGAATGTCATGAGTTATTA